AGGCAACGGTGCTAACCACCGCCTCACCTTGCAGCCCAGGAAATATGAAACAGGCATTTTATTTATTTTTTTGTCTGTTACCTTATTAGGCTCTCCTCTGCATCTATACCAGGTCTCTGCAGGAGCATTTTTATGTGCCAATTCAGTTCAGTTCAATCAGTTAATGGGGGAATGTCATTATTCACGTCAAGGAAAACACAAAGAATTCACTCTATAAAGAAATATAATTCACTAAGGCTCTCAGACAGTCCATGTTTCTTTCAAATGTTTATGCTCCTATAGACATGGGTGTGATTTTCTCTCTTATCCTGTTCTGTTTTTTGATTTGTTTTTTTTCGCTTGGGGAGTTAACCTCTTTGGATGTGCATGTGGCAGCTTTTATTTTAATTAATAAACCCCTGGACATTGGATTTCTGTGAAGATTTCTTGAGCAGACATGACACTAATGTCTTGCTTTCTTCTGTGTGACATATGAGCAAAAGTTAGTAAACTTTTTCTGTCTGCAGAGATATTGCATCAGATCGCCGTGAGCTTGCCAAACTTGGCATCACACACATCCTCAACTGTGCGCAGAGTAAGTGGCGCGGAGGAGCCGAGTATTATGCCGGCATGAACATCACCTACCACGGCATCGAGGCCCATGACTCCCCCACATTCGACATGAGTGTTAACTTCTATCCTGCTGCTGAGTTCATTCACAAAGCCCTCACGAGTGGAGGTTAGTGCCACAATGTGTGTGTGTGTGTGTGTGTGTGTGTGAAACATTTAAACACAAGAGGTACATTATAAGTCGATACTGAAAGAGCTTTCTGGACACGTATCCCCAAAATATTACTCAAACAGAGTCTAAATAACCATAGCAGCATGCAAAATGACCACAAAAAACACAAAATAAGCACAAAGAGACTAAAAACAACCATAAAATTACCTAAAATCACCACAAAGAAATTCAAAATGACAAAAAAAAAAAGAGACACAGTCTCCAAAAGACCAGAAGAGACTAAAAACTGCCAAATAAAACACACAACTACAGATTCAAAACAACAGTGTGACAATGCAAAACAACTACAAAGAGATGCAAAATGACCACATTGAGACACAAAATATCTACAAAGAGACTCAGTATTACCATATCAGGACACAAAATGACTAAAAAGTAACTCACAAAGAGAAAAAACATGACCAGAAAGAGAGAGATACAAATTGCATAGCAACACTCTGTCTTTGTGAATCAGACATATAAATCTGAACCATAACATCTGGAAAATATCTGGACCAGGGCAGATTTAACCTCCTGTTGTCCTGTGTGTCCAGGTAAGGTGCTTGTCCATTGCACTGTGGGCGTGAGCCGCTCAGCCACTCTGGTGCTGGCCTACTTGATGATCAGACAAAACCTTACTCTGGTGGAGGCCATTAAGACAGTGAAAGACCACCGTGGCGTCATCCCCAATCGAGGCTTCCTCCGCCAGCTCAACGGCCTGGACGGCATCCTGAGAGAGAGCCGCAAGACGTCCCCACAGAGCTGAAAACACCCTCGACACACACTCAGCCTGAGGTATCAGCCAGGTACACCAAGGGAGGTAAAGCTGGGGGCTGCGCGACAGTGCGGCTCTGCAGGGTTTGACTGATACCAGTGTCTTCACACTCAGTTACTTCATTTTATTGTATCGGCAACAGCAGTAGAGCGGTGAAGTCCTGTATTCTTTAAGATATGAAGGGTACAGTATATGCGACGTTAGTGCAAATTCTGAACTCATGAATTCAGAATTGATTGCCGTAATTTGCAACATATGACAACCTAACTCGATCACACAACTGATGTCAGTGCTAAATCCATATTTTGTGTATTTCGACCAATCGTGAGCCCTTTTGGCTCAAGGCAACAGAGAAAAATAAGACACTGCATCCCAAAATATCTGGTTCTCTGATACAAAGTCAACGGTACAAGCCTGTGTACATTGCTTGGAACCGACTAATCACTGAGCTTAATGTTCAGTCACATGCTGCTAGCAGCGGATGGAAGCTAAACATAATGGTGTTAGCAAAACTGATAATTAACTGCAGTTCAAAAATAATCTCTGAAACAATGTCAGACTCACTCACATGTGCATTGTTGAGCTGTAAAGAAGCCTAAAAGTTTAGAATCATCTGGTTTAGACGATACCTTCATGTCATGTTTCCTGTATGAGTTTCAAGCCCTCTCTAACCAAAGTTCAGATCATTCCAATGAAACTCATTAAGACATGAAACCTGTTTTTATTGCTGCTGCACAAGTCGAAAAATGTTTCAGATCCCTGCAGATCCAAATCTTGAAATGGTCTGATTCATTGGAAATGAAACAACTGCTTCTAAGGATTCAAGGATTCAAGGCTTTTATTGGTCACAAACACAGTTATACATGGTATAACGTGCAGTGAATGCAATGCAAAAGGAAATGGAATAAATAAAGAAAATAATGAAAATAATAATAATACTACTATATACATTGGTAGGTTATGTTAAATGGTTCTCATTTAATAAGATTTGAACAGTATTATCACTGCCTTCTGGTGCAACCAGGTAATTCTAGCTAGTGTTAGAGGGGACAGCAGCTGTACAAGGTGCAAGCAAAAAGTTCTGAGACTGTTTGTGGCTGACTCAAAGCCACTTTACAATAGAAGAGCTGCAGCCTCCATAACCAGGGAAGGAACATCAGGCCAGTAGCACCAGGACCATGATTGTTGTAGATTTATCTCTCATGGTTGGATTGTCAGTGCAGAGTTCTGCTATAACATCTTAGGGGTCTAAGAGAGAACATTTGGTGCAAATGAACTGAACTGTGGTGTGGTGCTCAAATACCATGTGGCCAGTCACAGCACGGTAATTATGAATGGTTTTTGTGGCCACAACATCACCATCGTTGCTCTCCGCCTGCCCTACTGCCCAGGTTTGGCTTCTTCCTATTCCCCAAGATGAAATTCAAGTTAAGGGGTTGCTGTTTGGACACAGTTTAAGAGATGCAGAACTCATCACAGATTGTTCTTGACATGTTTACAAGTGTCACAGGAGCACTGGGAGTAGTGTATCAATGCACCAAGAAACTAACTCAAAGTAAATGGATTTTGAAGGCACAGTCTCAGAAGTTTTTGATTGCACCTCATAATGATAACTGCCATTTTTGATTAATGTGACGATCAGTTTTACAACAAGACTTCTAACACTGCTGCTTTTGTTTTCTTAATTTAATAGGGAACAATTCTAGCATTCCTATCTGCCAGCTTGGATTTTCTATATCAAAATAGATGGACTTAAATGGGTTCCAATCCAAGGGCGCTATGCCTGCCCTGGACTAAACATGGTTCTTACTGTTTTTTCTAATGAATATGTTGGTTAAACCCATGATATCAACCCTCAGAAAGGAAAGTGTTTCTCAGTGATTCTTCCCCGTAGCTTCAGTCGTTGCAGGTCTTCCCTCAACGTAACTTTTTTACATTCATTAAGTGCCCTGAACAACTCATACTCTAGTTGTAGCCCAGGTCTAAACCAGCACACTTATGTAGCCTATAGTAGTGTCCCAGTCTGTACACAGTTACTGTTTGTGAATAGCAACATGCAGTATAGAGTATAACTTTTGCTTTCGATTGGGTGTTGAATAAGTTCAATGTGTTGTTTCAGTCCAGTGTATTTCAAACATTCCTTTTGTATTAGATGTGTTGTGATCTAAAACTCACGCATCTATTAAACATCTTCCAGTCTGGTGTACAACTTCACCGTTACAGTGACTGTTAGCTGTCCAGAGTAGTCGTACTCTAAGTGATAATTTAATATGCCAGCACAACAAGTGTTTAGAGTAGACGTGCAATGGGACAAAATACCACAAATGTGCCATTGCAAAAGCTACCAACTGCCTGGATGACAGGAGTGCGCACACACACAGTGTACAGTGCAAGTCATACAAAGTCTGCTCTTTGGTGTTAAAAGTGAGGCTCGTATTCTCATGCTAGTGAAAAACAGTAGAAGATCCAATGCTAAACTTTAAACCAGCTTTTCAAATACCTTCCTGAGTGTTATTATAATGATTACCTCAAGTATAATGTTTGAAATAAATTTTTTGTGAGTTGTGGTTTTTGTCTGTGCTGTTTTAACACTATAACGATGATGGGCAGAAATGCAGAAATATGTATATAAAAATATGGCTTTGTACAGTCAGCAGAAATGTTAAGGTTTGGTTTGAAATTCTTGGAAAGACCTTCATTTGCTTTCCTAAAAAGAGTAAATAAAACGATCAGCGCCACTATAATGTCTAAGTTTGAAGCCTGGAGTCAGTTAGCTTAGCTTAGCATAAACACTCAAATCGGGGGGAAAAATGAAAAACAAACAATTTAAATGCAAATTTACAAAGAAAAAGCCAAAAAAGAAAAACACGTCACAGGTTAAGTCACAAATTTTAAGTGTATAAGTCCCAATTTAAAAGCAAATAGGTAACTAATCAAAAACAAAAATTTACAATAAAAAAATTTTAAAAAAGAAAGTCACAAATAGAAACAAAAAAAAATCACACATTCAAGACAAAAAAGTCGGAAATGTAAAACAAAAAAGTCACATAGTGAAAAAACAAAAAAGTCTTTGCTAAGCTAAGCTAAGCTAAGCTAAGCTAAATGACTCCTAGCTCCTAGCGTTGATCTTTTCATCTCATTTGCAACACGAATGCAAATAAGAGTATTTCACATAATATCAAGCTATTCATTTCAAGTGTTTTTTTATATTGTAGCCTTGGAAAGTGAGGCAAAGCAGCAAGCCGTCTGGACTTGACTATTTACAGGACAATTTGATCGCATTGTGTGTTAAAGAGATACCCATTTGCATCATAGCTGGCTAATTGGGGACCAACAGTTGAGGCCTCCAGTGGGCCACATCTGACTCCTGCATCCTTATACCATAGACTGTATATAAAGATTGGTGATGAAGTCCTCACAGGCAAGTGTTGCAACCCTGGCACTGTTATTTAGGGATAACGAGACCAAACTCCTATCTTCTAAATGAATGGCGGGAGGGTCATAACTGTAAAAACCTCTAGTTAAATCCGATTTAAAAAACAAAACAAACAACAACAAAAAAAACACTGTGTAACAACGTGACTGGCTGGATGTTTCCCAGTTCAGCTGTTGCAAAGCAGATGATTGGTCTTCTTGGGGAAAGAGTTGGACAAGTGGGATACAACCACCATCTCTGACGTTACATAAATCTCCCATAGATTTATATTCAGGATTCTTTAAGAGGCTCTGCTTTATAATGTGTCAGACGATCATTACGTCCACATATTGAACAAAAGTGATGCTAAAATATGGCAGGAATGCACAGCAAGCTGTTGTAACATTTTGTGGCTGAGTTTGTCTACTAAAACTATATTTATCCACATCGTCATTTTGACTAGTCGTAGTTATACTGCAACTAGTCAGAATTTTTATCCCAGAGATCTATAGTGTCAGTCTGACCAGTCAAAACAACAGAGATCTCTGTAGTTCAGTTTGGTCTAATCAGAATTATAGCTGTGGATATCTGAAAAGTCCTTCTGACTAGAATTGTTACGATGTTCATGTGAGGCTTCCCATTGAATGTTGGTCCTGCAAAGCATTTGAACAGTGTTAACATAAGGAGGCTGCTGTGGTGGATGAGATTGTTAGAAAATGAAATAGAAAGAGCTCATGAGTGAGTGAGTGAGTGAGTGAGTGAGTAACTGAGTGAGTGAGTGAGTGAGTGAGTGAGTGAGTGAGTGAACGAGAGCTTCTACATCAGAGACTTGTGGTAGATGTGTTTTCACCAAATCAAAACACCAATTTAAGATATTTGTGATTGCATTTTTATGAATCGGAATTCCAGTTTGTAATGTAGATGTGCTGAATTTGGATTAATAAAAGAGGTTTTGAACTGTAGATATCTGCAATGAGAAACACATGAATGTGTATAAAAGCAGATGGAGCTAATGTAAGTAATTGCATCTGCAACGCATCTGTCAATCATGACCAAATACATTCAAATAATTAATGAACAGCAAACTGATCTGAAAAATGAGCTCAGTGCCATAACAAGAGCTCAATAAGACATGTTTGGGAAAACAGTAGATTTTTTGTTGTTGAAGCGGCCGGGGCTTAGAGGTGTTGCAACCAGCCACCAGGGGGCAATAGGGGTATTTTTGCTTAATATCTGAGCTGTCATTTCATCTATCTTTACATACAGTCACTGTATTATGGCATTGAAAAAAAAAAAGAAAACTGAATTAGCGCATTTCGTATAATATTTGGATCGAGGTATGAAGTTACTCCCAAATTCCAGAATCAGCCCGTCAAAAATCCTCACTCGCTATGTTTTGTGTCAAGAAAACGGAGTGACATATCATGATGTCCTGTCAACAGCAGAATCTGCCTTTCTTAAGAAGCGTTGCTCAGTCTACTCAGTTAAAACACACAGGAGGCACTTACAAAATAAAGAAGTATCCGTGGTCGGCCCTGTCTAACCATTATAATCTTTACCTTTGCTGTATTGGATCTGTGTGTTTTGTATTTGTGGTTTTATTGTATCGTGATGGTTGTCGGTCTCAGTTACCTGTTTATATTCTCGTTCCCTCTTCGTTTTCTTACAGAGACCTTTCTATAGGAAAACTTGAATTCTTTTTGATTTATTTTTGTATCACTCCCTTTGAGGTTCATTGAGGAGAAAGTGGCAAAGGAGATGCTGATGCCTTAATCTGTGTACTTCGAGTTGGTTTTCAGACTTTTGTTTCTACCTTTTTATTGTGGAAGACACTGAGCATTGATTACTTTGTTTTGATAAATTCTGCTCTAATTGGAAATAAAAAGTACTGTGTTTTCATCAACTCTTGTATGTTCATTTCCTTTTAATGCTCTTATTCAAAATCAACAAGACAATTGTTTTGGGTCTCGGAAACAGACACAGTTGCCTCAAGAGCCATTCAGTGGCTGTTTTTCAGCATATTCAACATATTAATTTATTAAAATTTTTTTTTTCTTAGGCCTGCAAGGCTTTAACATTCATGTTACACTGAAAAAAATAAAAGTTTTTTGCCCTAATCCGATCCGAGGTGTTTAATATTTGTTATCTGCCCATCAGATACCATTGTCCTAGGTAATACATACTTCATGTATTGTAAATTAGCTAATTTACAATACATGAAGTATGCATTACCTAGGACAATGGTATCTGCAGTACCTGGAGGCACCACCTCTTGCAGTTCAATACTGTAGTGTCCCAAGGAGGCAGTTACTCAGGCTATACAGGCAGTTCATGCTGGCAAGCAAAGAGTACTGTGGGGGTTTAGCTATCAACAGGCCACCATGACAAAGAATTCTGAGAAGCTTAATGGCCTCTGCCCAGAGTTCATATCATTTCAGACAAACATTTCTGCTTGGGACAAATGGCCACTGTGATACATTTTTATGACCAATTAACTTACTGATTGGTAGTGCTGTATTTAATGTGAAAATTATTTACATTTGCAACACCTGTGTGATAGTGGATGCAAACAAAGAATTGTGCTGATATAGATCAGTTACAAATTGTCTTGATCCACTCTGATTCTGAACTTTAACATCAGGTTATACAGAAGCTATACTGAGCTTAAGCAACCTGCAATTGGACATGAGGTGAAGCTCAGCTGCACTGGGGCCTGGCCCAATTTAACCCCTTTCAGCATCATCTGGTGGTGAGTATGTCAACAGCAATAATAAAAAATGAAAACATATCGATAGATCACAATAAACCTTTTTATTTCCACTGAATTAATCAAAATGTAATATTATGATCACATACCACAGACACTAAAGTATAACCATAGAGGCTTTCTAGGAAAAGAGAGGACGTAGACAAGTAGTTTTGTTTACACCATCGTCATTTTATTCTGATTTTGTTAACAAATGTGGCCCTTAAAGGACAGATTAGAAGGTACAAAATATTACAGATCAAATGTCAAGACAGTAAACAAACATGTTTTAAAGAGGAGAAAGTGGGTTCGCTGGGTGTTTTTCTAGCGTTACTGTTGATACGCTGAAGCTTAGAGTTTAACTGGGATGATAAAGGAGAGCAGGCCGAAGCGAAGGAGACGCACTATGGTAGTTCACCACAGTCGGTGATGACAACCTTGGCTTTAGGAGTGCCGTTGCGTGTCCCGTGCTTCTCTATCGCCTTGACAACATCCACGCCATCCACAACAAAACCAAACACCACGTGCTTCCCGTTGAGCCTGGAGAGCAGAGAGCAGATTAGTATGTGAGAGCCACACCTGAAGCTGTTCAGGGTCGGAGTGGAGCTCACCAGTCAGTTTCCGCTGTGCAGATGAAGAACTGTGATCCATTGGTGTTGGGCCCAG